GCCGCTGACGTCATGCGACATCTGGTACTCCCCCACATCAACGCTCATCTCCTCCCCCTGCACGCCCAAGGCCATCCTCATGGCTTCCACAGTGCCGGCCAGCGTCGTGGGCGCGTTGGATGTGTGAGATCCCGGGGAGCCAGAGGGGCACAGGCAGGGGCAAGGCCGGGCCCGATGCTGCTGCCATGACGCGGCAGCCCAAAAGGGGGAACGGGGCCTGTTTGGGCAAAAGGGGTGGCCGGTGACTCGCCATGTCACAGCCGCTAGCCTGGAGCATCCGGGGACCCAGGTCCTGCGGCGCGAGCTCACGCCTGCGGCCTTGGTCTCTCGCGGAAGATCCCGTTTGGGCCCAACCCACCGTCCCCCCCAAACACGCAACACCCGCCCCCACGTCCGCTGCGAGGCCCGCCCAGAAGGAGCCGTGCCGCGCCCCGCCAGCTGAAACGCGTCAAACGCGCCGCCTCTGTTGTCTGCAGGAACTCTGATGGTCGCGAGGTGATGGGCTTCAACTACGACTGCGGTGAGCTGCCCGCCGCACACACGAGCATCTCTGCTCCTTCCGCCAGTGCAGCGGTCGGCCGGCCCCATCCCGCGCCCGCTCCGCTGCGGCCCGCGCGCCAGCTCCCGCCGCCACCCACCCACTCTGCACCCCAACCACCTTGCTGCCCGCTCCTTCCCCGCCTGACGACCACCCAGGCGTCGGCCCCCAGTGCAGCACGACCGCGCAACTGGCGCTCAACTGGATGCTGGTGCCGCGGCCCTTCGTCCCCATCCCATCCCCCAGCCCCTCGCCGCCCCCGCAGCCGCGGCCGGCCACGCTCTACCTGCAACACAAGACTCTGGTCCTCACCACGCCAGGTGCGTCGTCTAGCCGGCCAAACACTGGTCGAAGGCCGGGCAAACGCGGGGCCTGGCGGCGTGCGGGCGCCTGTTTGCGTCTGGCTCACAGCGCCTGGGTATGGGGCGCATGCATCTAGGCCGCAGCTGCCAGTGCAGGCAGGCGATGTTACGTGTGCGTGCGCTGCCGCCTGCTTCACAACCCTGACTGCGAAAGAGATTGACTAGGCGTTTGCAGCAAACATGCTCGCGCTGCGGCAGCTGTTGACTGCGGCTCTTCAGTGCTGGTCGCGTCTCTGCCGTTGCCCCGCAGGCTTCACCAACATCGATTTTCTGGAGGCTATATTTAAAGGCTATGGCTCCCCGTATGACATCGTGCGCTGGGACGTGCACAGTGTCAGCCCCCCAAAGCCCGACCTCAACGCGCTGCTGTATAACGCCGACGGCTCAGCCCGCTACAGCTCTATCTTCATGTGCGTGAGGCCGTGGCACAGCCCCATGCCAGCAACTCGGCTCGTCCAACGAGCCTGCTGAGGCGCGGCCACGACGGGGGCGCTTCTTATCCCTAGGGCTCCGCCTGACCCGCCGTGGGAAAGGGCACGAATCGCCCGTGCCACCTCACCCAGTCGCACCTCATGCGTTAACGCTGCGCCTGCTCAATCATCCGAGGCTGACCTTTGCCACACCCGCGCACGGCACCGGCACCCCTCAAAAGGCACCCCAATCTGGAGGCCATGAGCCTGATGAACATCACAGAAATCAACATCCTGTGGCAGTTCCAGATCCGCTTCGGCGTCCGCACTGTCAAGGTTGGCGCGGGCAACCCTGAGCTCGGCTATGACTACAGCGGGACGTGCGGCGGCGGGGCCGAGGCGATGCTGTTCACCGCAGACGCGCCGCCGGGAATCTCTGGCGTCAACGTGGCTGCCGCTCAGCCGAACTACAACGGGATCTGGAGGTAGGGGTTGGTGTGTGCATTTGTTTCGAAGGGGTGCTGGTGTGTGTGAGCGTGCTTGTGCTGGTGCTGGTGCTTGTATGAGCATGTGTACGCTGCACATATGCATGCCGCTGCTTTCTGCATTGCCCCACGTATCCCCTCGCCCGCTCGCACTGGGCGACCACAGCGCCAATCTCCTCCCACCAGTCGCGTCTGCACACGCATGCATGCACACACGCACGCGCACACACACACACACACACACACATGGAATACACACACACACGCATTGTCTTATACACTCCCACACCCTGCTGCCGGCTTTCAACCCTCAACCCACACACCCACCCTTGCCAGGTGCCCTGGCAAGCCAACCGCCAACGGGTGCCCCCTGCAGAGCGTTGTGGGGGCCAATCCTTACAACCCCAACGCCAGTGCAACCCTGCCTGTCAATTGCACGCCGACACCGATGATTAAAAACGCGGCCGGCTACACTTTAGCTACCCTCATCAAGTGAGCCGCACCCCGCGCAGCACGCGCGCACGGCGCCGCTTGCGAGTGACGGGCCGGTCGGTGCACTTGGCTGAACCTCGAGTTGCACACCTGAAGCTTTGACGACATGTCCCCGAGTCAGCCCTGATTGATTTTGCCTTGGGTGTGCACGTGAGTCACACTGACTCTTCTCAAACCGTTCACCGTGTCCCGCATCTCCGCAGGTACCAGGACGGCCGCGAGTCCATGGGGTTCATGCATGAATGTGAGCGAGCGGCCAGGGGCGCCGTCTAGGGCAACGGCGCAGCCGTCCATCTTTTTCAAGGGCTGAAACTGAGCGGATTGCCTGTGCAGCATCGCGCTTGCTTGCCGCTCTTGCTTGCGGTGACATCATCCGCACTCATGGGTCCACGTGCCTCCGTTGTTTGACGCAGCTCTTGCGCTTTTTATGCCGCTCAACAACAGGCGCGGCCTGGAGCTCTACGTGCCTGCTGTTGGGCCACATGGCGCTGTCCTGGGTGAACCAGGGCTTCACAGCCGGGGAGAGGGCCAACCTGATCTCCGTACAGGTGAGGCGGCCACGTCAACATGGCAAAGGCGCGGGGTTGTCAATAGGGGTGAAAAAAAAACGTTGCATGAGGAGGGTACGGCTGGTCAATGGAGTCAGCCAGGCTGCGCAGTGCGGCGCGCGTGCTCTTTTCAAACCAGCTGGTGTGGGAGACCGGTTGGACGCCTGTCTGAGGGGTCCCTCGGTCAAGGCGCTGGCGCTCTTGGTGCAGGCGCGGCGCCGCTCTCTAACCCGTAAATCCCCGCCGCTGCCCTTGACCCTACCAGACCGACGACTTCTTCCTGTCGACCGACCAAGACGACACTGGCACTCAGTACCGCGTGAGCCCCTACGACCTGCAGCGTCACCTCCAATGGCTCTCAGACCTCAAATCAGGCGCAGTAGCCGGCATCACGTTGGCCCCCAACTCAGACCTCAGGTGTGGGCCTGTGCGCACTTGCCCCTCACAAAACCACGCGTGACGCCGCGCGACAGCACGCCTTGAGTGCTGCATGCTGCGGCCGCTGCTTCGGATGATGTTTGCTGCAGCTCTGCTGCCTTGACGCCCTGGCACAGCTTGCTGCGTGCCACAACCACCGTGCCGACCGTGCCAGGCATGAACATTTGCAGCCTCCACTGCTGCTAAGCCCCGACCCGTGAGCCCTTGGCCTCAGCCCTGGTCTGTGCCCGCGCGCCCTCCCAAACCTCCCCTAGGATCGACCTGCCGTTCAACGGCAACGGCATCCTCGAAAACTCCACCAAGCTCACCGAAATCACCGTCGACGGTGAGTCGTGCACCACCTTCCCCGACTACGTGGCTCTGGGCTGCAACTGCTGGGCCACTGGCTACCAGGCGTGCCCCACCACCGCGCCGGTCTTCTGCCAGCACTGCACCAAGGACTGGCCGAAGCCGCTGGGCACTGGCACCAACAAAGTGACGGTGCGCAGACGGGGGGGGGGGGGGTAAGAACGCATACACACACGGCATCAGATGCCCCTGTCCCCTCGGCCGCCGGCTGCGCCCCTCAACCCCTGCCCTGCCTTCCCCGACACATGGCCCCTCCACATGTCCATCACGATGGGCTGATGCCCCGCCGACGGCGCCGCCCCCGCCCTGCCCCGGCCCTGCTGCCGTCTTGTTGCGCCCGCAGTCGCTGCCCAACACAGGGCTCTGGACTCCTACGAACCTCAACCCAGACCCTCTCGCCGCAGCCGTGCTTGCAAACACAGGCGGCATCACCACAGGCTTCCACTGGTGCCACCACACGGTGAGCTGTTGTGATTCAAATAAATTGGTATGATCTGCCTGCTGGCGGTTGCCGCGCGGGTGCACCTACCGCGTAGCCGAAGCCATGCGTGAGAGGGTGCAGCACGGGGACTGCAGCACACCCCGCAGCTGTGCGCATTACGGCCCTTGGCACGCGCTGAAGCGTCGGCTGCACGACTTTTGACCCTCACTTATGCCCTTGAACTAAAATGCATCATGACCCACCTGTTGGCCTTCTTGCAGTTCACGCACGAGAATCTGGACAACGTCACAAAGTATGACGCCGATAAGCAGCTCTCCCTGAACATCAGGATGGCGGTGAGAGGCTCAGACGCCGGGCCAGCGAGGCAGCGGGGCCAAACAGCGACGAAGCCAGGCTGACACCCAGGGCTGGCTGCGCTGGGTTTTGCTTGTGATCAACAACCCGCCCAATCTGGCAAGCAGCGGCTGTGTCCCTGTGCGCCGGCGGCCGTCCCTTGCGCCCACGTTCCCATCGCCTATCAAAACCTACACCCTTCGGCGCCCTGCACTGTCCTTGCGTGCGTGCCTTGCTGTGCCCGCAGGCCAACCTGTCCCTGTCTGGCAGGGACGTTTTCAGCCACTCCTGCATGGTGACGCCCGAAATCAGTGGCCTCATGAACGGCGACGTGCTGACGGCGCTCGGCAACAACGGCATAACGTGCTCTACCGGCGACAACACCTGGTGGGGGCCTCGCTTGGGCGCAGGCAGCAATGTGATGTGCGCGGGCCGGGATGCGGGTCTGTGGTTTTGTCGCGATCGCCGGCGTAAGAAGCCGCGGGTGGATAGAGCCTGCAGCCGCCTTCAGGGCACGCCTGGGCAGCCTCTTGCCTCAGTGTTTTAGGTATGGAAGCGACGGTCCCTGACATCCCCTGTGCCTTTCTTGAACCCCAGGAGGCACCTCCTGAATCAGAATAACCCCCACCAGATGCTCTACACCACCCTGGTGCGCAGCACGCACCAGACAGATCTGATCAAGATGCACAGCTGGTCGAAAATCGCACGACATGCAAAGCATGCAATTGCCCTCTGCACCTCTGCCAAGCAAGTGTTGCATGCTTCGCGGCCGCAGCCGCAGCGCACCACATGGCTGCCCCTTGCTCCGCGTCGTTGCAACTTGTGCGGCAGCCAGGGGTCACTGACTGGCATACGAGCCTCCACCAGACCGTGGGTCCCCTTGCTCACAAGACCGCCTTTGTTACTCGCATTTCTGCGCAGGCGAGCAGCAACTTTGCTGGCTACGCTATCCTGCCGCGCTGGGCGACAGGTGGGGCGGCGTCGGTTGCCTGATCTGCAGCCAGCCGGGCAGGCTGGCGCCTGAAGAGCGCTTTTCTGCCATTTCATTTCCCTTGGCACTGCTTTCGGACACAAAATTTTCTGCTGGCAGGGTGTGGCTCATGCCAGCAGCTTCTGTCTTTCTCGCCCTCTGGCCTGCCACGCATTAACCTGTCATTAGCCCACCCCTGCAAAGCTGGCCCCCCCCAATCGCTCTCTGGCCTGCCACGCATAAACCTGCCATTCGCCCACCCCTGCAAGCCCCCCCCAAAAAAATCCCCGATCATCCCACGCTCACTATGGCAGAGATATACTACAACTGCAGCCTGCAGAGTCAGAACCTTGCCCTCTACAACGGCATCTACTCCTCCCAGCTGGGCATTTCCACGTTTGACCAACTCCTGAGCAGGGAGGCTGACCGCGTGTCCTACAACATATTGGCCCTCCGCAAAGACCCGTGAGCATAATGTGTCGCGGGCGGCCGGCGCTGCAGCTGCCTAGCACGGGTGGCGCGCATATGGGAGCCGCACACCTGCTAACTGAAATCTGGGGTCCATCCGTCTCCTGCAGTGCCCTGGGCAGCCAGGCGTGACAGGGGCGCCCCCATGCAGGGCGTGTGTCTCCTGTGCCACCTGGTCCCCAGCGTCTTGCTCGGCCGGCTGTCTGGCATGTCGCACCTGCTGTGCCAACCTCGGCCCTACCGAGATCATCACCTCGCACCTCGTACCCACCACCTCGACGTCCCCTGCAGGCACATGATGCATCAGGCCAACCTGAGGGTTGAAGGCGGCAGCCGCACAGACTTCACTGTTGGGTGAGTGGCAAACACTCAACACGCACAATGCACACAACTTCAGGTCCGACTCCTTCTCAAGGGCCACCCTGAAGTGCTGCCCTGAGGCGTTGCAATCTCCACCCTTGTCTGCATGCGTCCCGCGCTCCTACCTTGCAGCCCGCTTGCAGTCTACAATCTGCTTGCATTAATCATTCCTGCTGCCTCGTTCACAACCTGTGTTTCATACGCCTGAGCCGGCTGGGTGTCCATCGCGCGCATCCCTGAGCCCCCCACTCAAATCCGGTGTCCTGGCTGCGTCTGACAGCCTTGCCGCTTTTCCGCTGTCGGTGCACCCCGCAGGTCTAGTCTCCTGATGAAGTGGATGGAGGCGGTGCTCATAAGGTGCGCGCACTGCACAATTTGAGTGTGCATGTCAACGGTGTTGATGGTGGTGTGTGCGTGTGTGTGTGTGTGTGTGTCGCCATGCACTGTCTGGTGTGCAGAGGTGGCAGGGAGCGTGCTTGTCAGCACTGCTTTTGTTGGTGGACACCTCCAGATCCGCCCTCACACCAGCCGTTGCGCTGCACTGTGGCGGTGCCGAATGCAAATTCCCTCGTCGGACCTACACAACGCGTCCTCCCTTGCAACACGCAGGGTCACCAACCTGGTGACGTGGCCTGTGAGGTCCCTTAAGCTGGACGACCTGATGGCCGCGTTCAAGGCGCGCGAGGCGCGGGACGCCTGCCAGCCGTCGTACCGCCTGGAGGTGGACAGCGCCACGGGGGCGGTGCAGGCAGTGACCGTGACGAGCAACGGCGGCGCCTGCAAGGCTCCGTTCACTGTGGGCAGCACCGTGGCCGTCGGCCTCCCCGCGTCGGCCAAGGACGGGACGGACGTCACGGCGGCGATCTACAGGGTGGATCTGGCCGCGGGCGCGTCCACGCGGGTCGTGCTGTCAAATGCGCAGACGTGGGTGCTGCCGCCGCTGTCGTGAGGGCCGCGCTGTGCTTGAGCCGCCGCCTTCGCGGCCCGCAGGCGGCCAGGTGCTGCTCATGAGTTTTTTGACGGCTACGGGCAGGCCGGCCCTGAACGCCGTGAAGGGCCATGCGAGGTGTGTGTGCAGGCCGCTGGTAGCCTCCACGATGGCGTCACCCGCGATGCGACAGTGGGCAGCCCTTGCCCTTGAATACTTTCCAGCGCCCCTCGTGGTGCAAGGCGGGGCAGATGTAGGGCCAACTTAGCAACCCAACACTTGGGTGCACTTCCTGCCTCTGCTTTTTGTTTTACCCAGGCGCAGCACTTGCACGCTCTCGCGCCCATATCTATTGATATCGTACACGGCGCGTCGAGCAGCAGTTGCCCTCAATAATTGACGGGCCACCCTGTGTGCCCTTGCAAGCACATCCAGGCGGCTCAGGCCTGAGCGTAGCCTGCCTGCCAACCCCTGCTCTCGCAAAAAGCGCTCCGCAGCGCGCTGCATTAAATACACAAGACTCGACCGTTGCTATCCACGATGCACTGGTGCGTGCCCTCCGGGCGCGGCGACGAGTTTGTTTTGCCGCACCTGAACCACTGTCGGCTGCTCTGTTCTGCAAGAAAGCCTTCTGCTTTCTGTGGGTGTTTGTTGGCTGATGCATTACATGCACGTGACGACTTCGACGTCACAAGCACAGCATGTGCATCAGCGAGCGGCTTTGAAAAGTGGCTGTACAGATCCGCTGCCGGTGCAGCAGTGACACAAGTCCCAGTGTACATATCTGCCTCTGTCATGCACGGCGTATTCCAGCTTCCTATACTTGTCGCAGAACTTCTTAAATTCCCACGGCCGCCGTTGGAGACATCCTATTCCCCACCCACCCCTTTCCTACCCGCCCACCTGCACCCTCGCGTTAGCAAATATGTGTGCGGCCAGCTGTTGCCTTTTTCGGGCAACTGCAGCGTTCGTTTCTCGCGCCAAGCTGCACCGCTATGTGACAGCGTGCACGGCCTCCAGCCTGCAGCTGCCAGTGCTTTGACCAGCCCGCGGCTTCACTGCATACCAGCAGCCCCACTTCCCTGCAGCCCCACTCCCACCCCGCCGTGCCCGGGCGCAACCCTGACTGGTTGCGGCCCCCTAAGCACGCGTTTGTGCTTGCTCATAACGCCTGCAGGCTGTCAACACGCTGGTGCTGCCAACACCCGCCCCGGGTGCCACATCAGCGTCGCAGCGTCGCGCCAAGAGACAAACAGCGTGCCCTATCTGCTAATAATCCACCAATGATGATCCCCATCCACCACGCCAGGATGATCTCTTACTTTGTGCGGAATAATGGCGCGTGCGGCCCGCACGCGCATGCTGGCCGGCCCCGGGGGCCGCCCAGCATGCGGTCCCCAGCCTACCCCTTTCATTCGTACTTGTTGGTCGCCTCGTCTTTTCCTTCGCCCTGCTTCACAGAACATCCCAGTGTCATGAATGCATGGCAGGTGCACTTTAGCACAACTCAGAGAGGACGGTGCTCGGTCAAGCTCCAACCCCCCCTTAGGGCATTGGAATGATGCACCACCCCTCGGGTGGCCGCGCTGCCTTTTCGGGGTGAGGAGACTGGGCGGTACGCATGGATGTATATGCCAAACACTTGTTTTCAGGTGCGACTGCACAGTTGCACGGGGTTTAGGCTGTGGCTGTTTGTCAGTTTGTTTGTGCGCATTTACACGTCATGGCTCAAAATTTGAGAATGCCCCTTTGTAAACAAGTGCCTGGGACACTGTGGGCTTCCTGAGACTGTGGGCTGTACATATCAAACCAATATAAAAATTCGAGCAAGCTGAACGTGTGCAAACATCAGGCTCACTGTCAATAGATCCCTGGGTCGTGGTGGCGGCAGGGCTGCATGTGCGTATCAGGTGCGAAGCTCTATTTGCGTAGCTCTGCTTGCAGTGACTGTCACAAGCCAGCGGCGAGATACATGATATGTGTGCGGGCGGGCCGGCATTGATGCTGGGTCCCCAGAGTTGGTGGCCACACTATTTGATGCCTGCATTAGAGCAGTCAGATTCTCAACAACGTTGGTGAGCCACAAGTCAGATGATGAGTTGAGGCGTGCTTGGGTGATGCAGATCAACTACAACGCCAATACCAAGTGGAATACCACCGACTGTCAGAATACCCCAAGTCAAGCTATCGGTAGCAAAGCAACATTCTCATTTGAAATTCTCATTTGAAATTGTTCTAGATAACCTCCCTCGTAGCATTCACATAGTGACGAGGGTTCAATACCGTGCGGCGCCGCACACGGCAGGGTGGCGCCGCATACGGCAGGGTGGTCACCACCGCACACGGCAGATGTGGCAAGCAGCAGTGTGCTCAAAGCGATTGGGGTGTCCCCGCCCATGCCCGCTCCGTTGTTCTTTGATGATAAAATAGCCGACTCTCCATCAATACCATAATTGGTTTCGAACTAGATCACCTGCTCTCTGCTGCTCCCCACTGCACCCCACTGCACCCCACTGCTCCCCACTGCTCCCCACTGCTCCCCACTGCTCCTGCCCCCCTTGGGTCTGTGCTTACAACGTAGTGCGTGGCCAGCGTCTTGATTTCATTTTCTTGGATGATGGCAAGGACAGGTCAGATTGATTTCGTTGAGCGGGAGGATTGAATGCTTGAGGGCAACTTTGTGTTTGTTGGCTACAAATCCCACGTATGTTGGAGCGCAGTATTACGTGGGTGGGTGTTGTTGCAGGGTATTCCTGAGGGGTGCTGAACATCCAGGTCGGCAGTCGCAAGTCAGTTGAGTAATGTTAGCATCAAGCACACACTGGGCAGAGTCGGACAGCAGGAATGAACATCGGCGACACACCCTGAAGGCTTGCCGGAATGCCGACGCTGAAACTTACCAAGCCTTCTGCGGACAGCGCCCGTTCATAAGGCGATGTGGTTTGCCTGTGTGCTGCATCTCACGCCATGGCCAGGCCAACCACCAGCCCCTGCTGTCCGTAGGCAGACGACGGCTCACTCATGTGGAGATCCCGCAGTGGCGCCGGCAGCGACGGCCCAGATCGATCAAAAGGTATTCATTAAGCTGTATGCTTCGGCAAGGCCCAGCGAGGGGGCCGAGAGCGGTCCACCGGTGGCGCCCGCGACCTGCGCGGTGCGCGCTGTTGGCGACACCGCCGCTGTGTCCACAGTGAACTTTTTGTCACACGGCTGAACTTGCGTCCACAATGTGTCATCACGACGGCTTGCTTTTATATAGAGTTGCAAACGAAATGGCCCCCTGTCGCTCCACCACTTGACCGTTGCCGGATGATCCATCTCTGCAGCCTTCTTACACAGCTCGCCTGCTGCGTGGGTACTCCATGCTGTGCCCCTCTGCGTAGCGTACCGTGTCCACGAATTTTTGGGGTGCGCATCTCACCATGGCCTGGTTGCGGAGTGCTTTGTTGCTGCTCGCGGTGGTGGCTGCCTCCGGAGTGGATGCACAGCCTCTGCGAAAGGTCTCCAGGAACTATGTGCTGATCCTCACAGACTCATCCGGTCTCACGAACAAGTGAGTACACAGGCGAAGCACCAGGAGATCTCCTCCGCTTGTGCGATGTGCACCCGCTCGCGCCGCTCTGTGCTGTTGGGCCAGGGACGCGGCTGACCGCCCCCTTCCCGGTGTGTACCGCCCACGCGCAGGCAGAAGAACATAGATTTCCTCCAGGCCGCGCTCTCCAGCGCCGGCCAATACTTTGACGTCGTGGTTGTCGGCAAAAAGCAGCGCCCTAACTTTGCTACGCTCCTGTGGAACGCCGACGGCACCGGCAGATACAAGGGCATCATCATGTGCGGGCCCCCCCGCAGCCAAGCGGCCGCGCGCGTAACGGGCGACCCTCCAATCGCGTGCAAACCGCGGCAGCGTCTCGTCGCCGACGGACCGCATCCGCGGCTGACACGACCCGAACTCCAACTGCTGCGCCCACCACGTGCGCTGCCGCGCCCCGTCTCCTTGCACAGCAGCTGCAGCCGCGCGACCCCTGGCGCCCTCGCACCGACCCCCGCATTCTCCCTCCCCCGTGGCACCTCGTGTGCGCGCCCGCAGGTACCCCCACCTCGAAGGCAATAACGCGCTGACGCCCGCAGAAATCGGCATCTTATGGGACTACCAGGCGAAGGCCGCCGTTCGGACTGTCATGTACGGCTGCACCCCCGGCCCCCTGGGCTTCGCCAAAGCGCCGGCCGGGGCCACCAAGAAGAAGATCTACTGGTCGGACGACGCACCTGCGCTGCTCGGCAGCCCGGGCGTCAAGGCAGGGGCGGCGGTCACGGGCGCCGGCAAGAACGCCGTCTCGATGTGAGGTTTGGGGCCGAGCGAGGGGCTGCGTCAAGCCGAGCGCGGCTCACGACCACCCTGAAGGCGATAATGTCGAAACCGCCCTAGCCACGTGTGGCGTACGTGGCCGCGGCCCCTGCTCGCTCACATTAGCCGGGCGGGAGGTTGCCTCACGATTATACACCGCCCCCCTGTGCTGTTCAAGATTTTCCCGGCTTGCTCACGCCCCAACGCCAAAAGTCACCCTCAAACCCATCTCTGCAAACCCTGGATGCCCCCAGCACGCCCGGCCTGGCCGGGCGGCCGCTTGGAACCTGCAACCTGTACTACAAACCCAAGAAGCTCACCATCGTGTCACCCTGCACTTCGACGCCCATCCTGATGGTTGCCACCACACCGGCAGCCCGTGTTGTGGGCATGAAGATCAGGTAAGCCTGTCTGTTTTAATTGCTACATCAGCGTTGGGGCGGAAGGCGAGCGGGCGCGCCGGCAGTACTGGGTGTGAACTTCTGACATGAGCAAACACCGTGTGGTCTTTTGTGCAAACACTGTGTCATGATGTTATTCCACCCCAGGCCGGCAAATGACGTTCATTTTCCGCACGGCGTGCGGCGACTGACCTCAAGCCAGAAGATGCATGCAAGCCCTGCATTCCTGCTGATGCGCCAAGTCCTAAACCTGCCTTGCACTCATGCCTCTCGTTGGGCCGCCTGCAGGCACTCAGACGGCCGCGAGGTGGTCGGCTTCACCCAACAATGCGCAACACGTGTCGGCTCCGCGTGCAGCGAGACTGCCAAGTTCTCTGTAAACTGGATGCTGCAAGAGGCCGCCGCCACCAATGACACCAACCAGCAATCGCCCTCGCCTAACCCCAACCCCTCGCCGTCTCCTCTGCCGGATGGCGGCAACAATGCAACTAGTACTGGCACTCCCATTTGCAGCCCAGAGTGCGTGCACGGCGTCTGCAGCGCCCCAGGCGTCTGCAACTGCAGCTCGACCCCCTACATCGGAGCCACATGCGAGACGCCAAGTGAGGGCACCACTAGGCAGGGGGAGGGGGCACCTTGCACGAGGCTCGCTGCTGATTGCACTTTCAGCTTGCTTTGCCCTGCCTCAAACATGACCTAGCAGTTTGCAATTCGTACGCCCATAATGTCGTGGTGCCTTGGTGTCCGCTTGCTATTTTTTGGCTTGCGGTCTTACTGTTGCCGCTCTGCCTCCTGTGCGTGCAGCCTGTACCCCTAGCTGTGCTCACGGGGGCAAGTGTGTGGGGGTCGACACCTGCAACTGCACTGGCACTGGCTACGTCGGCCCTACGTGTGAGGAAACCCCAGGTGTGCTGGGCAGGACACGCAAGGCACACGTTGCGACCGTTTTTGGGCAGCCAGGGTGGGGTGCTTTCCCCAGAACTGTCAGCAGCACGCCCTCATGTCGGGCCCTCTGACCCTCCTCTCATATTTGACCTCTCTCACAACGTGTGTCCAGTTTGCACCCCGGCGTGTGCGCATGCGGGGCGGTGCATCGACACAAATACATGCGACTGCCAAGGAACAGGCTACTCTGGACTCACTTGCTCAGAACGTGAGCCGCCACAACCGCAACACATGCATGTCAACTCATCCCCACTGCGACATCACCCCCGCCTGGTCCTGACCTTTGGCACTGAACTTGATAGCCCTGAAACTGAATCAATTGCAAACAACCTGGCAACACACCACCCAACCACCAGCAAACTTGTCTGCAAACAACCCATGCAAGGACAGACACGGCCCTCCCCCTTCTGGCGCAGTTTGCAACCCACTGTGCGAGCACGGCGGAGTCTGCATTGCAACGGACACCTGCAACTGCACCGGCACTGGCTACGTGGGAACCACCTGCCAGACGCCAGCAGGTGTGGGGCTGCGGGTGCTTTTCGGGCCGGGCCAGATGTGTACCAACCTCGTGCTGCGGACACTATCATCTCCTGAGCAGTTTAGATGCTACCTTCAGCAGGCCCTCCGCTGATAAGCAAGTGCAGGCCTGGTGGTCTGTTTCTTCCTGGTGTTGCGGCTCGCGTGGTGTCTTTCAAAGCAGCGTTCGGTATAGCAAGGCAGAAAGTCAGGTTATCGACCCTGTGGTGCTGCGAAAACTTCACTGTGTGCATGTCGCATGGTCTGCCAAGGGGCGCAGCCCTCTGCAGTGCCTTGGTCATCATCCTTTCACCCCTACCGCCTTATCTTGGCCCCCTGAACCCCTGCAGTCTGTAGTCAGCCATGTGCGCACGGCGGGCGGTGCTCTGACCCAGACACGTGCGACTGCAGGGGCACGAACTACACCGGGCCGACTTGCCAAACGCCAGGTAAGCGCATGCAAATGCCCGCAACTGCTGCAACCTCTCAGGATTGACCTCCCACAGCATGCCCGTGCGGCAAGACCAAGCATGCCGCGCGTGTGCCAGGTGCTGAGAGGGGGTGACCCCAGAGTGCACCATCCACCGCTGCATTCCTGCGCCGTTGGGTAAAATCTTTGCATCTCACACGCCTGTATCGCCCGCAACGGTACCGCGCTGCAGTCTGCAGTACCCCCTGTGCACACAACGGCACCTGCAGCGCGCCCGACGTGTGCGACTGCACGGGCACGGGTTATGAGGGTCCCACTTGCCAGACCCCGGGTGAGCCCACGGCTGAGCTTTCACATCCTGTCTGTAGCCCTGGTGCGCCATGCTTGCGTGCAATCAAAAGCGCCTCTCTTGCTGGGGTTGGTTTTTTCAAACAGTTCAGCTGCCTCACTGCCACTTCGCATGCACTTGACGTTTCCCTTGTTGCTCCAGTTTGCAGCCCTGCGTGTGTGCACGGCGTCTGCAGCGCCCCAGGCGTCTGCAACTGCTCTTCAGGCTACACCGGAGCCACATGCACGACGTCAAGTGAGGGCTTCACCTCAGAGGGGAGGGGTGCTCATAACATCAACCTGTTTGCTGCATCATTGAACTCACCCAACGATCGGACTTGTGCTGCAACAGGGGCCCGGGGCCTCCAGACCCTGCCCAAGGTTTGTCCAACCCCCACATCCCCTATAATCCCTGCCCACTTACCTCAATCGACCCCCTCCCTGCTTTCTACTCATGCATCGCAGCCTGCAATCCTGCTTGCTTGCACGGCGGCGACTGCACAGCTCCGGATACCTGCAACTGTGCGGGCACCAATTACACTGGGCCGACGTGCGAGACGCCAAGTGAGCACCTGCGACCGCACACATCGAATGCGCCCTCCAACGGCAGCTTTCCGCGGCCCGCCTGCTTGCGAGGCCCCGCTCAGTCGGCCGTTTGTTTTGGTGTGTAATGCTGATGAAAATGCAGCAATGAAGCTCCTCTGTCTTCGACAAGGGCGCAATCACGCATGCCAAGGCCGACTTCACCCATGCCGCCTGCATCCCCCTCACTGGTGCTGTACTGCAGTTTGCAGCGTTCCCTGCGCAAACAGTGGCACCTGCAGCTCGCCTGACGTCTGCAATTGCACGGGCACGGGCTACGGAGGCCCCACCTGCCAGACACCAGGTGAGCCCTGTGACCTGGTGTCGGCACCGTGACAGGCACCCTGGCTTGGCGCCCTGGCATGTTGGGGTGCGCTGTGTTTTTGGCCGTGCTGCAAGGACCTGACTGTGTCGCTGCATTCATGCCTGTCGTTCATGCTCCTCAATCTTCCTACTCCTTTGGTGCAGTCTGCAGCCCTGCATGTGTGCACGGCGTCTGCAGCGCCCCGGGCATCTGCAACTGCTCTTCAGGCTACACCGGAGCCACATGCGCGACGCCAAGTGAGGACAACACCTGGGGCGGAGGAGGGGGTGTTGCACAAAAGCAGTATGTTGCTACAGCACCATCCCCAACGTGGATCCCAACCGCCGAGGATCTGTTCGGGGGTTCTAGGCCCTCCCCTGGACTTGTGCACCGCGCTCCTACCTTCCTCATGAACCAAGCTGACCCACTTTGGGCCCCCTTGCCCCAACCGCTCCTGCCCTGCGCATTGCAGCCTGCAATCCTGCTTGCTTGCATGGCGGCAACTGCACAGCTCCGGACACCTGCAACTGTGCGGGCACCAACTACACTGGGCCGACATGCGAGACGCCAAGTGAGCGAGCACAACCGCACACTGTCCACCAGCGCATTGAAAAGGCAGCTTCCTGCAGCCCGCCTGCCCGGTCAGCCGTAGTTGTGGGCTGGAGAAAGTACTGTGTTGTATCCTGTGCTGATCGGCCACACGCCCCTCTCCCCAAGCGTCCTGCCTCGCCTCATGCGCTGCTGCAGTTTGCAGTACCCCCTGTGCACACAATGGCACCTGCAGTGCGCCTGACGTCTGCAACTGCACTGGCACGGGCTACGCCGGCCCCACCTGCCAAACTCCAAGTGAGTTCTGTGTCCTGGTGTCGGCGCCCTGACTGCAGCCCTGGCTGGGACCATTAGTGGGGCGTCCACACTGATGTCCAACGGGGAACCTGATATTTGCTGCTGCAACATCCCGGCTGCCTCTGTGCAAACCTGCACCCACTTCATTTTTTCCTGTCGCAACTGCAGTTTGTAGCCCTGCGTGTGTGAACGGCGTCTGCAGCGCCCCAGGCGTCTGCAACTGCTCGTTGGGCTACATCGGAGCCACATGCGAGACTCGAAGTGAGAGGGGGCAGCCTGACCCCGCTCTGAATGAGGGCAGGTGACGGCGTGCAAAGCTAGCGTGTTGGCAGTGACCCGCATCCCAACCTGCTCTTTAGAAGTGCCAAACTAGGGCTCTATTGCTCTGTGCATGTTTCCTTCCCGTCTTTTGCTCATCGCCTGCCTCGTTCCAATCCACTGCCGCCCTATGCACCACAGCCTGCGTCCCTGCTTGCTTGAATGGCGGCAACTGCACGGGTGCCGGCATCTGCAACTGCACGGGCACCAACTTTGCGGGGTCAGCATGCGAGACGCCAGGTGACGGCCAACTGCTGGTGCTGCTACAGTCCGCACGCACACCTTGACAGCCCACTGTATCTTGCAGCCCGAGGCGCAGCCGCGTTTGAATTTGGCCACCTGCTTGGCATCTCACATCAAACCTCTCCCCGCCTCTGCCTCCGCCCACAGTCTGCAATCCAGGCTGTCAGAATAATGGCAAGTGCGTTGCGCCCAATACATGTAATTGCACCAGCACCGGCTTCACTGGCCCGACGTGCACAACTGTTGCGCGGCCGGCCACGCTCTACCTGGACCACAAGATCCTGCTCCTCACCACACCCGGTGCGTCTTTCGACCGGTCGACCCTTGGTCAAATGTGGTGCTCATACACACAGCGCAACTGCGCGGTCGTCATGTCATCTGTGGGAGGGATACTGCCGCTGGTAGACGGAGGGAGGCGCCAGGGTTACGCGACAGTCGCATGCATGACCAGCTGGGGAAACCTTGGTGGCTTGGTGGGGGGCAAATAGCTTCAACAATTGTGAGCTGGACGATGAGTGTCCCTGCTCGGGGCAGCAGGCAGTGCGCTGTATGCTGCCCTTCTTACCACTCCCTTGACAACGCGTCCATCCCAATCGCAGGCTTCACCAACATCGATTTCCTGGAGGCTGTCTTCAAGGGCTATGGCACCCCTTACGACATCATCCGCTGGGACGTGGGCAACTCGCCAGACCTCAAAGCGCTGCTGTGGGCCTCGGACGGCTCAGCCCGCTACAGCTCAATCTTCATGTGCGTGAGGCCAAGTCATGGCACCTTGCTTGCCCGCTTGCAGCGCTTGTTCCGTTTGAGCCACTATGACTGCCTGACTCTTTGCACTGTCCCAAGCAAGGTTTGGTCAATGTCCGCACTGGATTGACTCCTGGCAAAGCTGCATCTGTTTTGATGTGCATGCAGAATCAAAATGCACGTGCGTCACGCGCCCCCTGAAAAGGCACCCCAACCTGGAGGCGTTGAGCCTGATGAACAAGACAGAGATCGACAACCTGTGGCAGTTCCAGATCCGTGCCGGCGTCCGCACCGTGAAGGTCGGTGCAGGCAACCCTGAGCTCGGCTATGACTACAGCGGCACGTGCGGCGGCGGCGCCGAAGCTTTGACATTCACTGCGGATGCACCTGTGGGGATCTCTGGCGTCAATTTGGCGGACGCTCAGCTGGAATTCAATGGTATTTGGAGGTGGGTGCATTATTTCAGGAGAGAGGGCATATGTGCGCGCGTGTGTGTTTCTGTGCGTGTGTGTTTGTGTGTGTGTGTGTGTTTGTGTGCGTGCGTGCGTGTGTGTGTGTGTGTGTGTGTGCGCACGTGTGCGTGCGCGTGCAGTTGCACTCACACACACTCGCACACACAACGCTACTGCCGCCGCTGCTTTTACCATGGAAATTCAATACTATCAGGTGCCCTGGCAAGCCGATTGCGAACAGCGGTTGCCCACTGCAGAATGTGCTCGGCGCAAACCCGGCCAACCTGACCACAAGCGCCACCGTGACTACGAACTGCACGGTGACGCCGATCATCAAGAATGCGGCAGGCTTCTACACTGCTACTCTCGTCAAGTGAGTCCCTCCCACACGCCGCCACGCCACGCGGCGGCGTGCACCTGTGCCACATGGCACAGGTGCCCCGTCGAGTCGGCAGAGCGAGCGTCACGGTGTGCATGCCACCATTCTAGGCATGCCTGCGCAGTGTCAGAGTTGCGAGCATGGCCATTTAGAGCCGCTCGCACGGGCTCAGAAACAGTGCTGCTTCTGAGCCCATGGCGAGCTCCTTGCACGCACAGCACGCAGAGTATCGCATTAGCAAATATGCTCAATGCGCTTTGCACCTCCCCAGGTACCAGGACGGCCGCGAATCCATGGGGTTCATGCACGAATGTGAGCGTGTGTGCGTGAAGGCGCCCAGATGCGGCAAGATCCATTCTGGTCTCCAGGCGTAGTCTCTACCTCGAGCTGCAGAGCACCCTCACGAAGTGATTGCTTGCAGTACAACTCCACAAGGGCTCCATGTTGTGCTCAGCCAATGTCAAGCACTGCGCTCGCGCAATGCCATGTCCAGCGCACCCAATCTACGCCTGCCTGCTCATTTTTTCAACTCGCCCTCGTACTTTGCACCAGGCGCGGCCTGGAGCCCGACGTGCCTGCTGCTTGGCCATATGGCGCTGTCATGGGTCACCCAGGGCTTCATACCCGGGGAGAGGGCCCACTTGCTGACTGTCCAGGTGAGTCGTTTCGATTGGAGGAGAAGGGATGATGCAGTCTGGGAGGAAGGCGCTCACCCGTGTAGCAGGCACGACCGCAAAACAAAGGCGGTCGTGCCTGCCTCCCCCAAGCACTGCGTTCACTACAGGGGGGTGCAGCCGCAGCGGCTAGATCGGACTACTCAATCAATGAACCCCATGGCAATGTGTGACCACGCAGCCATCCCCCCCCCTTCGCCCCATCTATGCTGCCAGACTGACGACGTCTTCCTGTCCACAGATCAAGACGACACGGGCACTCAGTACCGCGTCAGCCCTTATGACCTGCAGCGTCACCTCCAATGGCTCTCAGACCTCAAGTCAGGCGCAGTAGCCGGCCTGAAGCTGCCCGCCAACTCCGACCTCAAGTGCGTCGCCTGCCCGTGCCATCTACCCCTTGAATAAGCGCTCTGTGTAGTAGCATGGCCCGCTGCACCGGCCCGACTGTATCTTGCGGCCGCATTCTCTCCCATGCCAAACGCCGCGGGCCCCAAAACCCTCGCCTGATCCGCGGCCGCACACCCCTAAAACGTTGCCTAGGGTGGATCTGCCGTTCAACGGCAATGGCATCCTGGAAAATTCCACGGGGCTTACCGAGATCTCAGTCAACGGCGAGTCATGCACCACCTTCCCCGACTACGTGGCTCTGGGCTGCAACTGCTGGGCCACTGGCTACCAGGCGTGCCCCACCACCGCGCCGGTCTTCTGCCAGCACTGCACCAAGGACTGGCCGAAGCCGCTGGGCACGGGGACTGACAACGTGAAGGTGCGCATGGCAGGGGTGCGGGGCTGGCCGCAAAGTGGGCCAACAGCCACAGCGAGGGCACCCTACACACTGCTTGGAGTGCAAGCCCGCCCACGACCCCACGCTTGACACTGCTGCAATGCATCCCTGCCTTGCCTTCCTGCACACCCACTTCTGACCCCCTGATTCCACTGCTGCTGTTCCCCGCTCTACCTCCCTGCACAATTCTCGTTTGCGTCGCAGTCGCTGCCCAGCACGAGTCTGTGGACACCCGCCAACCTGAATCTGGACCCCCTTGCCGCGGCCGTGATTGCTGACACAGGCGGCATTGCCACTGGCTTCACTTGGTGCCATCACACTGTAAGCACTCGCTGAGAGGCGAGGGCTGATGGGCCTGTTTGAGTCTGCGCGATGCACGAGAGGATGCCGTTTTTTGCTTGTGTGTGTGCGTGTGCGTGTGTGGGGGGTTGGGTGCGTGTGTGTGCGCACGCACGTGCGTGTGCGCGCATGCGCGTTGGACTGCTGGTCGTGAATGGGGTTTACATGCAGCCATGGTCATCTAGCCCCACACGCGCAGAAATTACGTCTGCACCGTCCCTCGCTTCTAGGCAATGCTCACCACACTGCATGGACCTACTTGTACTCCCTGTTGCACAGTTCACACACGAGAATCTGGACAACGCCACAAAGTACGACGCAACCCAGCAGATTGCCCTCAACATCCAGATGGCGGTGAGCTGGGATAGGAATATAAACTTGACCAATCACAGGATAACCTGGTCCCACCCCTCTTTTCGATCTTGTTTCAGCTTGATTGTGAGTTTGAGGGATGGCAAGAGGCGCGTCCCGCAGTCTGACATGAGTGGCTGTTGACCAGAGCACCTCCCGCGCAGCGACGCTTAGCTAGGAGCCAGTAACACACACGGCCACTTTCCCCCACAGTCGACCCCCTTCAAAAATGCCTCCCCGCGCCTGTGGCTGTCCCGCTGCCGCTATGACGACGCGCCCCGCCCGCGCCCGTAGAGTGCCCTGTCCCTGTCGACCAAGACTGCCGTGTTCAGCCACTCCTGCATGGTCACGCCCGAGATCAGCGGCCTGATGAATGGCGACGTGCTGGCGGCGCTCAGCAGCAACGGCATAACATGCTCCACCGGCGACAACACCTGGTGGGCCAAGTGCTCGAATTCGTGCAAGCATTGCGCACTTGGTTGGATGGATTAATACGGAAAGCACAATGCTTTGCCGGGCCTCACCACACACTCTGGAGTCGACGGCAACAGCACACATGCGCGAGTGCCAAAGACTGCGTCTTCAGGCCGCTTCCAAGCCTCCCGCATCGCTCCTGGGTCCCAATGAGTGCGTCGCAAGCACCCGCATATACCCCTGTACTGTTCACCCGTGTGCGTCGAGTCGCCGCCATACATGCGCCTTCTGCACATCCTTCACTGCAGGAAGCACCTCCTCAACCCATCGAATCCTCATCAAATGCTTTATACCACACTGGTGCGCACAGACAGCGTGCCTTGCCCAGGTCTGCGCAATGGTGCTCTTGCATGATTTGCAGACAGCCAGGGCCTTGTCAAGCACAGTGTACCCGCAAGGCACGCCGATACCTGCTTTACCCAGCAGCAAGCTCTGTTTCATGAGCAGCTGCATAGGCTCAGCAATGTGACATCTACCGAAATATAGTAAATCGGCATGGGTTGATACCACTTTCTACGGCTCAAGGCGCTTTACCCAATTGTTGCCTCCCTGCTCAGGCAAGCAGCAACTTTGCCGGCTACGCCATCCTGCCGCGTTGGGCAACAGGTGGGGTCGCTTGGTTGGCAGAGTACCCTGCATTGCTCTGCTGTATTCACGGCAGCCGCCACTGCCTTGGAATGCATGTCCTCATCCTGCTGCTTACAAACCATTGCGTCTAGCTGTTTGCTGTTGGCAGAATGGCATGTTCACCCGCAGCTTCCCATTCACATGGGTCCAGCCTACCGTGCCTCTATCATCCTGCCAACCCCCTTGCTGCACCCTGCAAATATCATCTTGCATTCTTGCAGAGATTTACTACAACTGCAGCACGCAGGCACAAAATCTACAGCTGTACAATAACATTTATACACAGCTGGGTGTCTCCACGTTTGACCAAGTCCTGAGCAGGGAGGCAGACCGCGTGCTCTTCAGCATCTTGACCCTCCGAAAGGACCCGTGAGCAACAACAGGGCTAGGGCGAAAGGGGTTCTCCAATGTTGCAAAGGGCATGTTTTCTGGAAGGTATCCTGCACACAGTTTGTCGCCCCTCCCTGCTGACTTGCCAAGGTGCCTCGCACTGTCTCGTGCACGGCACCCTTCAATATAAAGGCGCAGGATCTCAACAGATGACAGTGCGTTTGGCACATAGAAGCGAACCTTTTTGCCCTGCCGGCACCTGGCGCGGCATGGCGCCCGGAGAAACTCCCTGCCAGTGGCTCATCCTGCGCTGGCAAACCCTACCCGTGATGTCCCCTGCAGGCACATGATGCATCAGGCCAACCTGAGGGTTGAGGGCGGCAGCGCCACGGACTTCAAAGTCGGGTGGGTTTTGCAACTGCGTGCATTCCAGCGCACGTGTGCGCCACAACGGCTGCCCCGCCCTGCCCCTCCTTGCGGGGTAGCTGCCACGGTGGCACCCTGCCACGTGCAGCGCCCTGTTTGGGTGGATTTGACCAGGCTTACGTCGCTTCGAAGGTTTTTGTTCGCCCGCCGGACCCTGACCATTCCCTGCGTAGCGCAGGCTGGCAAGGTCTGAATAGCCAGCTGTTGCGCTGCTGACGGTCACCTTGCCGAGCAATGCTCGCGTGTCACTCTGCGATGCATTGCAGCACACCCAGCTTCATTTTGTGAGGTTGATAGCCTAGCCGCACGCACCCCTCACAGCCGTATGCCCTCACTTCCTCCAAAACACCTCAGGTCGAGCCTCCTCATGAAATGGGTGGAGGCAGTTCTGAAAAGGTGAGAAGACCTACCTATGCATTGGGCCGGGGTGTTCGTTTGTGGTATTGGAAGTCTGTGCAATGTGTTTATCTGAGCTCTTCAGCAAAAGCTTGTTGAGTGAGGTGCAGTGACGGTGCAGCGGCCAATCCCGAAGCAAAAATGCCTGACTGGTAGGTACAGCTTGTGGCACTTCGCTGCCGCACACCTGCCCGCGGCGGAACGTTGAAGGCCTGCTTGGCGCCAGCCGCGTTACAGGCGCAGGGAAGTCCTCAAACCAGCTCCAAAGCGCGGCGTCACGGGGACACCACCTGTCCTCCGCTCTCCTCAGGGCGACGAGCTGGGTGACGTGGCCCGTGAGGTCCATGAAGCTGGACGACCTGATGGACGCGTTCAAGGCGCGCGAGGCGCGGGACGCCTGCCAGCCCTCGTACCGCCTGGAGGTGGACAGCGCCACGGGGGCGGTACAGGCGGTGACCGTGAAGAGCAACGGCGGCGCCTGCAAGGCGCCGCTGATGACGGGGCCCTCTGTGAGTGTCGCCAGCCTCTCAGGCTTGACGAAGGACGGCACAGATGTCACGGCTCCAATCTACAGGGTCGACCTGGCCGCAGGCGCCTCCAAGCGGGTGGTGCTGTCAAACTCGCCCGCCTGGGTGCTGCCGCCGCTGGTGTGAGGGCTGCCCTCCGGCCGCCCTCTCACGTGCATTGAGGACGCCCTACGGGCGGAGACGCACTGGGCTGCAATAATTGGTCCCGCGTGCGTTACGTCTGGGGCGGCGGGGCGCCTGCATCCAACCCTTTGGCAATTTTTAAGTTGCCGGTGCAAGCGTTCACGTTGCCGCCTGCTAGCAGCGGTGGCCAATGCTGGGTTTGATACGCCACTGAGGCACCTCGTGATCTGGCGAGGGGGGGGTCCAACAACCCCAATGACGGGGTCCAACACCCTGGTGCACAGCCCCCGTTTGGGCTGCTCTTGGCGTGCCTTGCGCAAACGTCGCGTGGCATTTTGGTTCCACGAATATGCATGTCGATCTTGAAAAAAGCCTGTGGCTGTGCGTTAGTCAACCAGTCACAGCAGCGGCCAGGGTGATTTGTGCTCTTGGGCTTGCAGCAGGCCGCAACCTGAACAGTGCATTAAGTCTCACAGCCTGTGCACGCCCACGAGCTCACCAACACGACGCACCGTTCAAAGCAGTAGCAAACCCTTGCAACGAACGAACAGGGGTGACTTTGTGCCCCCTCACAAATAATCCAGGCTCAGGCCTTTGGGCCGCCTGCCAGACCTTGCCCTAGCTCAAGGGCGGTTGCCACATACTCGAATCCCTCCGTCATGCAACACCGCCACTATCCCCGGCGCACCTGATCAAGCCTTTGGCACTCACTACGTTGTACTTGTTCACTCCCACGCAAACATTGACTGGTTTACTGCGAAAGTGCTTGCAAGCCTGTGAGCCTTCGAGTTCCGCCTCCCTGGCGCGTGTGGGCTATGATGCCAGCTGCGTCCCTTCCACGGACACTGACTGCACACGGGCTGGGCCCAGCTTTGTGCGCTCCGTCGCCGCTGGTGCGCCAGTGGCATCCATTCCAGTTGGCGTGCCTCGTCGCCTCCGTTATGCAGAGCTGAGCAGCTTCTAATCTTGGACTTCCCACTTTTATACAGGCTTGCCACCTCTTGTTCATCCTCTCATCCACGCACGTGCTTGTGTCTTCAGTCTTGCCTGTCCCCTTCAACACATACTGCTTCGTGTCCTGGGAGCTGCGCTGGTCTGTGCATGCCACGCGCACTTCGCCCACCCTCGCTCTGGCTGTGAGGGTCCCTTCCGGAGGCAATCCCCGGCTGACAGCCACCCAGCCTGCACACATGCCCCTCTGCGATCCTTCACACATGCAGGGTGGAGCCCTGACTCGTTTGCATCCCCCCAAATAAAGCCTCGCACGTGCCCCTGGTGCGGCAGGCATCGTGTGCTGTTACCAGCCTCTGGTGCCACTTTGGTGCCAGCTAGTGCGTCGCATGGACGGAAAAGCGGCACGTCTCGCTGATACTCTGCGAGCTGGGAGCCCCTTGCACGCAAACGTCTCTTCACGCCCAGGGACGCTCCCTTTTGCTCGCACAATAACGGCATGCATGGTGCCCTCCATCTCTATGTGCCCCACACCCTTTGTTTGCTGTCCTGCATCTGTCCAGAAATCTCACTGACACTGCTACACCACGGCTGCACTTGAGTGTGTACCCTCCCCATGCAGCACGCACACTCCGCTCTGCACAAAAGTCCCCCCAGGGGCCTTTCATAGGGGGGGGGCCCCTTAGGGGCCTTTCATGGGGGCCCCAGCTCAGCATGGACTTCCGACACCCTGCTGTTTGCCGTCTGGGACAGAGCTGCCGCCTTGCAAAGAGCTGCATCTCTCTCAGCAAACAAAGTCACTACTGTCATTAGCAAACAAACTGCCACGCATGGCAGTCGAGCATACATCTCTCACCACCATAATACCCTATTCTCTATCTATTACACAGCAATGGCGCAACCCAGCAAGGCGTCCCTCGCCCCCCTTCTGTTTGTCCTGTCGCCTGCACGCGAGCTACGCACCGCTGCACAGACGGTCTTTTACTCAGTAACACAACACCGCGGGTGATCTTCTTTCGACTTCAGGGGGCCGCGCTCAGGCACAACTCATCCCCATTGATCATGGGACATTGTGCAAAAATGGAAACGCCAACCCGCCAGCACACTAGTGCCCGCTGCTGCCCAGACTGGATTCAGCATGGAACAGCACAGCGTGCCATGTGTCATGTGCAGTTGCTTGAAGGAGGTGCACGCACTGTGCGTGTGTGTCGACGGCTCATAAATGGCTAGTTGGCATTCTTGATAGTGTTTCCTGCCTACGTGTATGTCGTTTACACAAGCCGATCGATCACAAGTGTCAGACCACTTGCCTTTTGAGGGCCGCTGTGAGAGCGTCAGGTGACAGCAAGTATGTGGGATGAGTGTTGTGAACATGCCGTAAACCTTCAATCTAGCCGCGGGTCACGACAGACATCAGCTGCGAGGGCCAAAGCATGTATACATATTTGGCAGGGTTTGGAACCCAGGGTTGAAATCAAGGACTCTGGTAGATATCCATCTCAGGCGACTAAGCGAGGGTGACCAGGCCTGTTGTGCAACTTGGTATACTTGGTTGGAGAGGTCGCGTAGGGCTCCATGCTGGCTTGTGCATTTGTGGCACTCCGTTCTGGGGGGCGGAACAAGCCTGGCGATCTCCGCCTGGCTGCTCAATCGCAGATATACCCTTGATGCGCCAAAAAGTGTTCTTTATCACTCCTTCAAGGCGGACACGCCCTACCCTGCAGAGTTGCTCTCCCAGAAAAGTCAGGACTTGCAAACGAAATTTGTCATTGCGTGCTCGGGGGCGGGGGCTGCAGCACCAATGTGTCCTGGCGCGGCGGCGCGGCGTTAAATAATCTGTAGGCGGTCCGAGCCAAGCCTTGAATTTATGTGCAAAAATCGTCGTATCATGCATGCACTGACGAGGGTTCGAATACCGAGGGGTAGAGTGGTCACCACCGTAGACACAAATTTATACAATTGCCTGGTAGGTATTTGAATTCGAAAGACTGCAACCAGGCCCGACAACGATCTTCTCACTCGTTGTCACCCGGTCTCGGGTGCTGAAAGTGCTGGTCTGCATCCTGCGCACTTGTGTCCATACAACTGAAATATTATCTTCCCTGAATCTGACGGACGACTCACGTCAGGCCTCCACGGAAAGCGTGGGAGGGCACAGCGACGAGAACCACCTCTGCGCCCTCAAGTTCGCACTGCAGGCCTGGCAGCTCGCTGCGTGCTCCCCTAGGCCGGGTGGTCCGCAATGACCGTCCTGGGGTTGCTTTTATTCGTGTTCCTGGCTACCACAGGCGCAGAGGGCCTGCGGCAGGTCACAGGAAACGGCGTATTGCTTATCACCGACCCTTCTGGGCTGACCACCTCGTGAGTGAATGTGCATTGGTTCAAACATGCCTGAAATGAAACTAGATCCTTACGGCAGGTCCTGTGCGACGGCTGCGGGCCATGTGCCATCCGCCCCTGGCCCTCTTGCTGCGCGCTGCAGCTGTATGTGTGCACAAGCTGCATGCGTCACGCGTTGCTAGACATCAGCAACACCTCTCTCCCGCCCTCAACCTCCGCCCGCGTTGATGCGCGGTGCAGGTGGCAGAGCATTGATTTCCTGCAGGCGGCGCTCAAGGCGGCAGGCCAGGCGTTTGACACAGCAGTGGTCAGTAGCACTGAGAGGCCCGATTTTTCGAAGCTCCTATGGAACGCAGACGGCACTGGCGCATACAAAGGCATAATCATGTGAGCGCTGCATCAGCCTGTGACTGTGCATTTGCACTTTGCGGGGGGCAGTGAGGGCCGCATTATGCGAGGGGAGTGGGGCGGCTAGCCCGAGCGCCGCAATCAGCAATCTGGCACAAGGACGCAACAGCGAGCCGCTCGGCTGCAGCATCTCTTCCTGTGCCAGCAGCGGACCCCGGCCTCACTGGCAGTACTCTGCACACAGGCACTTTGCCATACAGCGCAGATCATTCAGCCGCAGCAGTGTGCGGCGGCTCCACACCCACTTCTGCCCGCACACCACCCAAGCCTCCCTGCATGACCCACTCCTCACTCACAGGTACCCTCCATTGGAAGGCATTGATCGCCTCACACCCGCCGAAATAGGCGTAATCTGGGACTATCATGCCAAGACAGGGATTAGGAGCATCAAGTACGGCTGCTTCATGCCCACAATTGGTTTCATGGACTCCCCAAACTCTGGCGTCCTCAAGAACAAGTTTTATTGGGCTCCTGACGCGCCCTTTGGGGCGTCCAACGTTTCCCAAAGTGGAATGCTCGACAACCCCGGCATGTGGCTGTGAGCAACCTCCGCTGACAGGGCAGGCTTAGATGGCAGGGTGGCCAGGATATCCTTTTACATGCTTGCATGCGCACGATGCCGGGGTGCGAGGTAGGGGTTGTACAAGCAGGATCATTCAACATGATGCAACAACGCGTGCCACCAAAGCCCCACGATAACAACCTGCCACAACACCCACCCACCCACCCACACACACACGCACACGCGCGCACACACATACACACACACACACACACGCACAC